CGGGACCCCTTACACCCCCACGGCGCCCCCCTATTCCCCCCTGAGCCCTCACATCCCCCTTGGGACCCCTTACACCCCCTCGGGGACCCCCTATACCCCCCTGAGCCCTCATATCCTCAGGCGCTGCCCAGGGACACGGGGGGACAGGGGACGTAGGGACAGTGGGGTTTATTGGCGGTGGCTGCGGTGGCCCTACAGCTTGGAGAAGGGGATGTCCTCGGGGCCCTTCTTCTCCATCGCCGCCTGCGCCGACTTGAGGATGTCCTCGGTCTGCAGCATGCTCATGTTCCAGGTGGCCTGAGGACGGGGACAGGGGTGGCACGGGGACGGGATGCCCACAGGGAAGGGGACAGGACACCCCTGGGGATGGGGACAGGGATGGGATGGCCTTGGGGATGGGGACAGGACACCCTCAGGGACAGGGACGGGATGCCCTCAGGGATGGGGACAGGGACGGGATACCCTCGAGGATGGGGACAGGACACTAACTGGGATGGGACACCCTCGGAGATGGGGACAGGGACAGGACGCCCTCGGGAATGGGGACAGGGACACCCTTAGGAATGGGGACAGGGACAGGACACCCTCAGGGACATGGATGGGACACCCTTGGGAACGGGGATGGGACACCCTCGGGAATGGGGACGGGACACCCTCAGGGAGAGGGACAGGGACATTGCGGGAGGGGGCACGCCCTTTTGGGGAGGGGGCTGCTCACCATGTAGCGGAGGCTCTCGGGGACGGGGTGGTCCCGCGAGTAGACCAGGTTCACCTTGGTGCCCTGCACGGCCACGGGGCTCCGGGCCGCGATGGCGGCGGCCACCTCCAGAGCTCCCCGCAGCAGCGTCTCCTTATCGGGGAACACCCGGCTGCGGGGGAGAGGGGCTGCCAGGGGGACGGGCACCCCCAGGGCCCCCCGCGGCGCCGGGGACGGCCCCGGGGACGGGGTCCCCTCCCGGGGGGCCGCCGTACCTCACCAAGCCGCAGCTCTGGGCTTCGGGGGCCATCATCTTGCGGGCGG